TGGCTTTTGCTGGCTTCTGGTGGCTTTTACTGGCTTTTGGTGGCTTTTGTTGGCTTCTGTGGGATTTTCGTGGCTTCTGGTGGCTTTTGTTGGCTTCTGGTGGCTTTTAGTGGCTTCTGGTAGCTGTTGCTCGCTTCTGTTGGTTTTTGCTGGCTTCTGTTGGCTTTTGGTGACTTGTGTTGACTTTCGAAGGCTTCTGTTGGCTTTTGTTGCTTTTTGCTTTTGTGGCTGTTCGCTATCCTTGCTTTGCTTATGTGATGCAGGAAGGAAGAAAGGAAGGAGGGAAGGAAGGAAGGAAGGAAGGAAAGAAGGCAGCAAGAAAGGAAGGAAGGAAAGAAGGTGAGCACTTGCAGGTGGCCAGCTTGCAAAGCTGTGCTGCCTGCAGTGGCCAGTGTCGTGAGCACTGTGCTACTGAACCGGAATCATGTAGCAAATGTTCTCTTGTGAGGTCGACGTTCCCGATTGGGACCAGAAAAAAAATCCCAAAAAAAACGAAAAAAAATCCTTTTAAAAAAACGCGGCCCTGATACGGGCTAACCACGCTGATCCCGATTGAGATTGCAAGCTGGGGTCCGGGCAGTGTAATGCAGTGCAATGTAGATGCTTGTTTGTTTCCTCAAGGCTAATTACCAGGATGTTATGGGGCATCCTGCAGACATGTTTACTCATGCTGGTTCTTCTTCATGCACTCTAAGAGAATGGATGCGCCTGAAAGAATGGCGTCCTCCCAAAATCGCGACCACGACATCACCAAACGCATTGAGTTGCGGCGTCCTCCCCAAGGAGGTTTGCCAACGCAGCTTTCCGCTGCAGTTTCAGAAGAAGGCGCCTGAGGGCCGCACCTTAGCCGTGCGCCCCAGCTGCTTGCGCGTCCGCGAGGAGGAGACGGTGGAAGCCCTGCGGAAGCGCAAGGCGACTGCTGGGGGGGGTGGCGGGACTTTGTGCCGAGGGGTGGGATCACCGGGAAGTGGGGGGGAGTGGGAAGGTGTTAGGACTTGGTGCTGAAGTCCAATCTCACTCCTGTGAGGGGGAATCTCTTCCGTTCTTGGTGCCGAGCGTGTCGCCGATCCGGAAACACCATGGAAAGGCATCGAAAAACCTGTTTTTGGGGGGGGCGCGAGTAAAAACACGAGCGTGAGAGCTGGCCATTCAATTGGCCCTATGTTCATCTATCAATATGGATGCGGCTTGGTTTTGGCACTCAACCACCCCAAGCACCCTGCTGTTGATCCTGCAGCCCTCAGCGGTTTGTGGGTTGCACAATGGCTATGAGGTTCTGGAGTTGGGACATCGCATGTATGACAGTCAAGCATTCTGGCAGGCACCAAAAGCCGGAAGGTGCATCCAAATCGGCTGGTGGATATGGGTTTTAAAGGGCACCTGAAATTCCACAAACACCCTCCCACTCCTGTCATGGGGGTAAAACGGTCTTGGAACTAACGGACGCCTGGCCTTGAAGGGCATGTCCACGTTCCCATGTCCATTCGCCCATGTTAACAAGTACCGTGTTACATTTTCCAGTCTGGCTGCTGGAGTGTTGCTAGGCTACAAGCCCCCCCCAGTCCGAGAATTCATCGCTGGCTTTCGTTTGATGTTTCTATAGGGAAGTCACCGGTGGGGTCGCATCGCTCGCGCTGCTGCTGGGAGGTGGAGATGCCGCTTGCCGGGACCATTCGCTGAAACTGGGAGCGACAATCAACAGGAGTCACACCTAGTCAAGGAAAAAAGACTGAACATCCAGTCACCTGCGAGTTTTGGAGTGAAACAATTATAAAAGAATGTTTCTGGAGATGTTGGGAGCCATTTCCAGCTGTGGGTCAAACCCAGCGATGTGTGCCATGACCCGGGCCTTTTTGGGGTCGTGAAAAGCCTTCCGGTGTGAACCGTGGTCGTGAGATGGTGCCGCAAATGGGCAGGTCAACCCAGACATACCAAAGCTATCCAAAGCTAACAGAGACTCCTTAAAATCCATTGCTTTGACCTTTCGAACGCATAATTACTGTTTCCAGGTTCCCATCAACCAGTCCTTCCTCTCTGTGTCGCTCTTTTCCACCTGACCCAGCCGAAAACGCACCGTCCCCTGCACCGCGGTTTTTGATGCTTTTTGTGTCCTTTTGTCAACCACCGGGTGCAAAGCAAAAAAAATACACTCTCTCCGAGCTAAACGGACCGTTGACACGGAGGTCGGTGGGCACGGTGCACGCCAAGCCGGAGCTGGACGGCCAATTCGGCCTCCTGGGCGCCTTCCAAGCGCCGCTCGGGCGGAAGTGCGAGACGACCCCGTGGGTCAGACGGCAAGCTGTTGAACCTGTTGGTCGGGGGAGTTCAGCGGTGGGTTCTGCACAGCGGCCCAACAAGACGTGCTGATCACTGCTTGCTGATCATTTTGTATAAGCGAGTCGAAGACGAAGGCCCTCTATCTCCGTGACGCCTCCGCACGGAATTCGCCGTCCGTGCACAGCACCTCACAGCTCCTCACCGGTGGTGTGGACGGTGCATTGGATGAAACCGAAAAACACGTAGGACGGTGGATGACGAACATGGCCCCCAGGCCTTGGAGGTGTAAGACCATTCATAGGGAGGGCGGGGGGCTTTATTCATCAGTCATATCATATCATATCTGTCTAACATAGTCTAACATTGAGGGGATTTGAGGGGCGGGCGTCG